AAAGAACTGTTGTCACATCTTCATTTTCCCTGGAAGAATTCTCTGTGGTTTTCCATCCATATATGTGGAGATATTTTTGTTTATTGCTGCCATGTTTGTACCACTGTTCTTGAGTTGTACAGAGAGGTTCTGGTAATGCATCATTGAGAGACTAAATCAACACTTGTGTTAGTTCCTGCTGCTGTAGTACTCTACTAGGCAATGAGGGGGTGGGATAAGAAGGATTGGCATGTGGATGTTTGGTTTGGGGCATTTTGGGGGTTTTTCCTTCAGTAGATTCCTTTATAATAGTTTTCTACCAACAATTTTGCAGAAAATTTGGAAAACACACATTTTTGGACTTGAAAGCTCTAAAATTTGAGCTTGACAGTGAACCAGAATTATAACTTTGGGTGTAGTGGTTGTTACAATAATGTGCCTTTGTTTTTCCTTCTGCAGTGTTTAAGAGCAATATTGAAGTTGATGTCTGAGTGCTGGGCTCATAATCCTGCCTCAAGGCTCACTGCCTTGAGGATCAAGAAGACACTTGCCAAGATGGTGGAATCGCAAGATGTAAAGATTTGACATAGGAAATTGACTTTGGAGAGCAAAGCTGGACTCCCTAGATCTTTTCACTCAAATGTGGGTGAGGAAGATAAAAACAGAGAAGAGGAAATAACTGAGATTCAGTATATTTTCTCAGCACACTTCTACAGGCTGCTAATGAAATCTTTCAGTACTTCATAGACAATGATACTGAGAGCCTCTATACACTACGTGCTACATATATGGACAGCCTTGAGACAATACACATTTTGTTTTGGTTTGAGCTGCATTGAGACTTCAATCATATTTAGTGAGTCTCCAGTAAAACTCTGGGTACTGAATTGAATGTTCAGATTACAGTGCTTTCTGTGAAAGCCTAACAAGCTATATGGATTCAACAGAGATGGAGAATATAAGCTTTTTTTTTTTTTTTTTCTTCTACCTGATAAAACCTAGTCAATCCATACCAAGTTTTTGTGAAACAGCCTGTAGGTTATGAATCTGTTTGTGATACTACTCAGTTTAACAGTTCTTTTTGCCTTTATGTGTGTGCCAGGATAGTTTTGCTGTCATTTGGATTATATAAGAAACCATTTAAATGAACAAAGTTTTATGGTCAGGGCTCTGTGCATTTTGTGGCTCCACAATCAGAGATTTGCTACAGAATCTTTTGCCATTAAGTTATCTTCAGAAATCACAGTTTGAATTTTGTTTTCTGTTTTTTATTTGATCACAAGGAGAACTGCAAAAATGTGAACCGTTAATCAAGGAATGCCCACCTAAATCTGTAAAGAGCTTGAAGCAATCTTTTCTAGAGATGTAGGCTGCCTAGGTCATCTCACTTGCATTCTAGAGAGAGCTCCATAATTGGATCCTTGAAATTTGTCGTATTTTTTCACAGTGCCACATGCAACCAGCATTTTTGCCATAGAATACTATACATCTTAGCAGAAAGACCAATGATGATGTGTTTTGCCTTCCTGCTGTATTGGAACTCATTGATAGGTGTCTGTCATGCTCTGAGCTTCTTCCCGTGAAGGGAGGGATTTGTCAGCTGTAGCAATGTGCTCTTTCATCATTTGACCAAACTAGGCAGAAGGTGAGTTTAGAATGGCTTGAGAACAAGTCTGGTTTTCAGACACAAAAGAGGGAAGGCAGGAAGCTCTGGGTCCTCTGAAGATCAGAGAATGCCATAAAGCTCAAGACCAGGAGAACTGAGTACATGAACTGTACTAAACTGTACAGTACATGAACTGTACTAAAGATCAGATCCACAGCATGCAGAAGATTTGGAGCTGGGTTGCTGTGATGGAGACACAGGAGGCCACATCTGTGGGCCACTTAGTGGAAGTGAAGATTTGAGACAAGGTAAATCAGTGGGTGTTGTACATTCTAGTTAAGTTTGGGAGGAATGGCACTGAAAATAATTCATGAACATACAATAAGTTAGCACAATTGCAAAACTTGGTTTTATTGTGCCAATTCTTTCTCCAGGCAGCAACTGACAGAATGAGAGGACACAGTCTTAAGCTGCTCCAGGGGAAATATAGGTTGGATATTAGGAAAAAGTTTTTCACAGTAAGAGTAATAAAGTACTGGAATGGTCTGCCTGGGGAGATGGTGGAGTCACCATCTCTGGATGTGTTTAAAAAAAGACTGGATGTGGCACTCGGTGCCATGGCTTAGTTGAGGTGTTAGGGCATGAGTTGGACTCGGTGATCTTGAAGGTCTGTTCCAACCTAGTCACTCTGTGTAACTGTTCGCCCTGCACAAAAAACTAAAGTTCCCCCATTTTCACCACTGACCCACACAAGTTGGATAGAAGCCAGAACCCTCCGTGAGGTACTCTAAAGTAGAATTATTAGTTTATAACTCCTTTGGCACTTCTACTTGGAAGTTAGAAAATAGTACCATAACTCAAGTTGAAGCTTCAAAGCATGAATCATCTGAAGATTGAACACACAGTATTGAAACCATTGTATCTATTTGATAATTTAAGTGCCTATAGCTTTGTACTGTAAGTCTTGTTCTAGATAACTTTAAAAAGGGAAGTTATTTATACAGTGTGTTTTGTGCTTTAGTAAAAAAAAAAAACAAAACAAATACCTAGTCCTGTGTACATGTGTACAATTAGATATATGCGCACACACACGCCATAGTTGAGATTTGATGAAAAAAATTAAGAATAATATCGCTGTCGATGAAAAATGTTAAAACTTCAGATTGATTTATGCCAGATTATTTGTTGTCTTAAAATATTTACATGGAGATTGTTTTGATGTGTTTAAATTTCCCTTGAAAATACAACTGATTAAAAGCAGTGTAACACAGAAGTAATGTGATCTGTGAACAATTACAACCTTCTAGCATGTTATTTTTTTATTTTAATCCTGTAGTTCCCATAATGTAAATGGTCAGGCAAAAGATCGCAGTATTTTTATTTTCTATTGTGATGTACAGACTTTATTTAACAGTTCTACATATTTTATAGAAAACTAGCTATTTCAAGGGACTTTTTTTTTTTTAAATAAAGTCATTACTTTTGTTTAGTAATGCCTTTAAGTATTAATATGTATTCTGGCTGAGAAGTTTGTAGGTGTGTCAACTTTAACTTATTTGAGAACATCAAGAGATGTATGATATTGTGCCACAATCCTCATGATAAAGGCTTTTAAAAAAAAGTTTCTCCGTCCATTGCCAAGAAATGTATGATGATTTTGCAATTGTTAATCATGTCTTTGTGCATGATTTTTGCACAGGTAGTTGGAAAACTTTTGGTATAAGCCAAAAAAAGTAAGGGATAAGCTTTTCTTCTTCCTTCTCTAGAATTTTTATCAATAAGAAGGAAAAAATGTTTATGTAGGTACCCTGCTAGCTTAAACTTTAAAATCATGGAGAGCTGTCTCAATTAACCCCATCCTATGCAGAATCTTGTTTCTTTTAGAATTTGCTACATCATCATTAGCTGTAAACATGTTTTGTGAATTATTTTTAGTTCATTTTTTCCAAGTCTTCAGGAAGCCCCTTCTGGAAGTACAAATTTCAATAATCTGTTCGTTTTCACTTTTTTCTTTTCCATTGTTTAGGTATTTTCAAGGCAGCAATAGGATGGTTAAACACCTTAGAACCTAAATTGCTTTACACATTAACATAGAGGGAGCCAACTACTGCAAAGATGATTTTTTGAGAGGGGAAAAAAAATAATCTTTTTTGCCTTAAACCTAATTTATCAGCACTTCTGTTACTCTGTTCATACTCAAATGTATCGTGCATGTGCAGTTTTTGCTGTGATAAAAAGGAGCTTTATTGATTCTGATACTCAACAAAATGTTAAAACTAAAGAATGTCTATACTGATACTTAATCATTTGGGGGAAAAAAATGTTCTCAAAGCCAGCTCATTGATTTTTACATAACTAAGCATAATTAATGCAGACTCCAAAGCTAAGTTGTTGCTTTATACAATCCTGTAGAGTTCAGAAGCCTTTAAGGTCAGAGAGGGTAATAGGATTCTTCTGTTGGACTGTGATAAATCTCATTTTGATGGTCAAAATTTTAAGCATCTATTATCCAAAAAAAAAATCCACCAAAACTGGCAAATGTGTTGTTTTTTGGGTTTTTTTTTGATACAGAAGTCAACTGTGTGGAAAACGGCCTGGGGATTATCAGGCCTGTGCCTTGGAAGTCCTTAAACACTCATATGGAGGGATTTTTTGTGCTTATTTAACCTGTTTCATATGATTTTAGATAGACATAATTGGAGTCACTTCATTCTTACGGTTAGAGCAACTAAAAGGAAAATTTTTGTGTTCCTGTAAATTCCATTAGAAATGTGGGTATTTCTACAGAGAAAATTAGGCTTACATTCTGAGTTTATTCAGAGTTTTACTTAATGTATTTATTCCTCAAGAAACAGTTTTCCCAATATCCATCACTTTTTCCCAGTTATTTTCTTAATTAGCCTTTTTTGAGGTCTTGAATGAAATATAAAATTAATATTAAAGTTACCTCCATAGTAGTCTAGAATCAAATTTTAGATCTTGATCTAAATGACCATTTGAATGTGTTTATAAAACAAATTATTTGGATACATTTCATCTGCTCTGTCTTAACAGACTGTATTTTAATGGTCTAAAAGTGTTTGAAGAGCAGAGACATAAAGTTAAAAAACATTCTTTTGCTATTGCAGATATTTTTAAAGGGAAGTTACATGCTTGTCTTTTGTGAAATATGAGAATGATTTAGCCTTTCCTCACTCTCCTGACAGTGCCTCTGAATTAAGTCTTTATCCTGTGCCCACAATCTTTATTCCAAGTAGGGGTGATGTCTAAAAGCAGCTGGCAGTGTTGCACAGTACAGTGCTTTATGGAACCATGGTGCTCAGACTTGGCTGTGCAGCAGAAGTAGAGGGCACATTACTTCTGGTCTTTGGACAAATCTAATGTAATTGTTGCTTTGTGATATTTTACTGTTTAATGCAATTATAGAAGCCCACATCATGTAGTGACATTTGTGCTCTGACATGACATGCCCAAAATGAAATGTACTATATTGTATACAAGAAGAATAAATAACATTGTAGTTAACCTAGAGAAGATGTAAATAAAATATGAAAGAAGAGTGGAACAAGACAAATGGTCACACTCTTGTGTGTGTTATGTGCCAGAAGTGTAGAATACTACTTTAAAAATGTAACACACTAATGTATTTTGTACAGCATCTGCTTTAGAAGGTGCCTTATTGAGTTTACCATGATTTGCTTGTTCTGTACACAGATTATGTCCAATGTATCATTTTTAAGTAAATAACCTTATTTTAGTACACATTAGTAATGTGTTTTGTTACTATAAGATTTTGCCTGAAAAATGTAATGACTTGGAAATAATACTGTAACTAAATAATTCCCTACTTTTTCATACCTCGTTTATCGTTTTTTTCCCCTCACAGCCTCTGAGTAAGTTGTTAATTATTGCTTTTATTGTTCAATGATACTGAAAATTACTTGGTGCTCTTTATTCCTCACACAAAATTTAAATTTGGGTGCAACAGTTAGAAACAATGTTTCCTTCTCCTGATTTTTATCCGTGTGTTGCAGCAAAGCCCAGGGGCAAGTCAAAATCAAATAATACTTTCATTTGAACATATGCAAGTTCACTGCATGTTGGTTTTATCCATATAAATTTGCCTCAAGCCTATCAGGTAAAAAGAGAAAAAATAAAGGGTTGGGGAAGTTTGTAATTGCTTTTTGTTCCCTCTGTATACAATGTTCTTATTGTGTAATAGTATCCGAATTAGGAGATTTGAGTTTAATACGTGTATATACTGCTTGTTGCAAAAATATGCAGATGCTTCTTTATATCCTAAATTTACTCTGGTTTTTATGATTCAAGCAAATGAAGACCATTCAAGGGGATATCTCACCTGTGAGTACTATAAACAAAGTGTCACCATTTGTTTTCTCATTGCAGAAATGTATTGGCTTCTACTCTCCATCGATTTCACCTTTAGTTTACAAGGAGAAATAAGTAAGATCAGTTTCTGTTCTCTTTTTGCATTTAATCAGGAATAATCTTATATTTAAATACATATTTTTTACAGTAGCTAGAAAAGCTTGATATCTGAACATCATAAAAACTGTTACCAGTATACTATAATTAGAAGCCTTGATTTGTTTTCCCTATACAATCAAGTTAGATTCTTGCAGTATAGTTCTGGCAAGTGCAGTGGAAAGATTAGTGATGTAGTTTCAAACATTTCTTAACACATAAATACCAGGAAATAAGACTGCCTGAAGATTTGGTCTCCTTAAATTAGTATCTTGGCAAAGTAAACCTTTTTCCTATGGTTGTGGCTATTACGTTGCTTGTAGAATGGAATGTCTTCACTGATTGCAGTGGTCGTGGTTGGATTTAAAACTTGGATTTCATGTTAGCCTTGCAGGAGGACATAAAGAAAATTGTGGCCAAGTGTTTTTGCACCTGTCCGTGTTTTCATGAGCAGCCTTTTCTCTCGGTCTCGTTTCGGGAAACGTCCACCGGGTGGTGCTGTGTCCTAAAGAAAGGGTTTGGAAAAAAAACGGGGAGTTTTGAGCCATGAAAACGAGTTCTGCCTACTAGTAATAAATACCAAAATGTTCTCCATTATAAATAGGTGGGTTTGGCCACTATATAAAATATGTTAATGAAGAGCTTGCATCAGTATCTAAGAGGTGAAACGGCTGTATCCAGTGAAATGTGTAAACACCCCGCATGGATGTTTGTGGGCATACCAAAAAGCAAACTGCCTAGTTAGCAAACTGAATCACAAGCTTTTAAATAAATATAAGAAGTATCACTAAATTCAGAAAGGGTCAGATTTAATTCTATTAATTTCCTTAATTCCTTCTGCAGTTTTGTCTTCACCTTTCCCCAAAACACCCCTTTGGTCTTTCTTACTGATGTTAATGCAGTAAATCAGTATCAACCATGAATCTGAGCCATGGAAGAACCACTGCTGTGGGCTGACCACCTCCTGAGTCTGCTTCATGAGGAGACCTCCATGGACTTCAGACTCTGGTTTGATGTGTGTATTATCTGCAGAATGCAGGCACTGCTGGATCTATAGAAAGTAAAATTTTTTATATATGATACAGTGGGTACTTGAATTTGGAGTACAGTAAGGAGATTGTCTTATTAATGGAAAAGAAAAAAACATTAGGAGACCTTAATTTTAAAATATACTATAAAATACTGGCATTCATAAAGCAGCAGATTCCTTGAAGGCACTAAGATGCACAGCTTTCTACTTTATTGCAATGCTTAGTGGTTTGAGCTGGAAATAAAGAAACTCGAAGCAGTGGCAATGTGTTCTGGCAGTTTTCTAGGAAGTACTAAAAGCTGTTGGAAGCTTTTATTTTTAAATATGAGAGTCAGATTGACATTACATCTGTGTCCTGGAGTGAGCACACATTTCTCTGTCTATTGCTGCCTGGCCATGAGGCACATTAGTGTAGTCAGTCTGCTGTGAGGGAAACTGAAGCTCTTACAGACAACTCTTCTCAGTGCCTATGGTCAGCTTCAGGTTGATTTTCATGTTTGGAAATTCTCCAAAATCCACTGAGCCAACCAATAGCTATGTTTTAAATTTTAAATTATCTTCATTAAATTTGTTCCTCTAGTTTGAGTAAAAATACAGGTCACAGTGAGGTGGCTGTGTTAATCTAATAAAAAGGCCAAAACAACCATCCCACCAAAAAAATGCAGGACTGGTTTAGATGGAGGCTTATGAAAAAGCTGGTTTATTGCTTTGAACAAACAAAATCACATAGGCTAATCATCATTCTCTCATTGCTTGAGAAGGAAGTCGGTCTTCCTGGCTTAATGCAGCCCGCAGACTGACTTAACCCATTGTCTTTAATTAATTTCTTGCCTCATAGTCTAAAAATTAGTCTTCCAGTCAAGCGTGTCTTCTTTGTATGTGCAGGTGGCTAATTTAAGCACATATTTGAAGATGTCTTTAAAATATAAAAACATCTTTAAATTAGCATTTTGTGCACTCCAGAGTCAGTGTTCTCTGAACTCATCTGGCATATTCTTCAACAAAAGTAAACTCTGGTAAGCACAAGGAAGGACACCAAACCTGTAGAAGTCCTGGCTGGATGAACTGCAGTGCTACTTCCTGTGTCCATTTCCAAGTGGTTTTCATTCCAGTTGAAGCTTTCTGTCAAAACTTTAAAAATAAAGTGTTTTGAAATATATATGCGTATCATATCCCCCATATGCGAGATATGTATTCCCTGGCGGTATTTATTTGTGGAACTTGGCTGGTAGGTGCAGAATTGGTGTGTGCTGAAGATGAGGTGTTCCTTGAACCACCCTGGCCTAGGCAGCACACTTGGCCTGGCTCTACTGAACACTGCCACCGCAAAAGTCAGGAATTGGAGGAACACTGGTAAAAACCCATCCGAGACACCCAGGATTGGTAGCTTTCTACTGAAAGAACCTAATCTTACAATTTGATGGTTTTCTTCATTTTACCTCTTCAATTTTATTCTTCTTTTTCTTCCCTCAGATATTTTGAGCAAAAGTGGGACAGAAAGGGACACTGATTTTGCAGGCACTTGGTGCTGCCTGTAGCAGAGCAGTGTGAGCAGTGGCTCTGTGCTAGAAAAACAGGGACACCTGGGCATCTGTGGAAATCAGCATTGGCCAGCAGGATATAAGGAGCAATTTTTGTTGCTAGTTTTCTTTGATTTTTCAGGATAGAGAAAACAATCTTCTCAGCAAGTCAGTAGCTGAAATTGCTTTGTAGCTTTATTTCAAAAGATATGTATTATCTGCTTGTCAAAGTGTTGCTTTAAGTGCATTGTGTGTTGGTACCGATGTGTTTGGGGTGTTTAACAAGTAATGATAGTTCAGCATTGCTTAGAATACAGGTAGGTGGGGAGAAAATTCTTAACAGCAGAATAGATTTGTTAAAAAATTCTACCTTAAAAGGGTGCAATTTACATAATAAGAATTTATATTGTCATCAAAAGTACTGGAAATTTCAAAGTGCATTTCATTTTGGCAAATTTAATTGTTTTCATATTGCTTTGTAAGGTATTAGGATAGACAAAAATACCACAATAATTGACCTTCTTTAAAGTGAAAGTCTTTAGGAAGTTTTATTTGACAGAAGAAGAGTTTAAGACATGACCAGGCGTGGTCACCTTGAAGTTTTGGAAATTTAAAAAAAAAACAAACCCTCTACATTTCACAAGTTGTAGTCTTTGTTTACTCTAATTACAGATTTCTATTCAGTGGTGACACCAGACCAATGAGCTTGCCTTTTGGTTTTAGTTTTGTTTGCTTGGTTTTAAAATACTCACTAGAGGCTGAACTCTGGGCTGAATTCATGATAATCTCCAGGATTAACTGTAAAAATAAATTGCATTTTTACCAATATTTCTAAAATATCGTTGACATTTTCCTAGTGTCCAAATGTAAATGTAATTCATCTTAACAATGCTTTAAATTTTTGCAGTGTAGCTGAAATACATCACAGGCCCAGAAACAGAGTGGGCTATTTACAAGATCCTTGCTTGCAGATACTGGCAATAGAGTGAATTTTACTGGGTTTGATGGATCTCCTCTAGTGTTCCTGTTGTGCACAGACTGAAACATTGGAGTGAGTTGCAGAAGTTTCCAAGATAGTCTGTGGTCCACAGAGAACTAAAAGGTAAAATTTCCCTGGCTTCTGGGTTTTAAGGTACCATCGACATGAGAGTGTGTAGTCCTAGCTAAAATCTTTTCCTTGCCACTGATGGGGGTATTTGCCATGGGAGGATATTCTTTTGCCAAGGGAAAGGAGAAATTTGTGTTAAAAGTGAAGAAAGTCCCACAAAACATTTATGTGCAATTCTCACATTGGAAGGATTTTGGAATGTGTGTGTTGGTACATCTGGAGTCCAAACTGTTAGCTTTTCACTTGAAGGAAAATCCCATTGCTGCTCATAAGCAACTAATCAAAAGCCAAACACTTCCAGAAAAGAAGCATGAAGACAAACCTAGGGTAGTGCTATGTTTAAACACATGCAGTAGCATTGAATACATCACAGATGAAGCAATAGTGAATGCATCCATTTCATCTATGGAAAGAGATTAATAAAACATAAATGTCGTTATTCAAGTTTTAGATATTAGGAATCCACCCATAGTTGTCCCAGGTGGACTTCGTTTCACTACAGAGCCGTGCAGCAATTCAAAGCACACTGTCTCCCCCTTCTCCATTTCTGCCATAGCAAAAGTGGTCATGGTGTTTCCATGTGGGCTTTTCCTCTGACTGCTTGAGAGAGTTCTTTTGTACCCACGGCTGAAGGAGAGTTGTCCCAGTGCTGGTCCTGAGCTGAACTCCACAGAGATGACAAACAGGTAGACACCTTTGTGTGGTGCTTTAAAGTGGCCGTGTTCAGAAAAATAGCTGTTTCCATAATTGAGGTATGTTTCATTAAACCTCACGGTTTTTTCTTTATCCTTTCTTTCTGAGAATCCTACATGGAATGCCACCAATGAGTCTGAAAAAGAAAGAGAACAGGATTTTAGCAGTGAGTGAGCACTCTTCTCTCTCCAGGATCATCAGGACGGGAGATAAGGTGAATCCCTATCAGGCCTGATTTTTGTATGCTGCTTTGCAAAGCTTGACACTGGAAATGGTATGTGTACTGAAGCAGATCAAAAGATTCCCTGGAACTCCTGGAAAAGTATAACAGTAGGACCACCCAGGGGGAAAAAATAGCAATTTTTTAACTGTCCTAAAAATAAATTAGTTAAGAATATGTTTTCTACTTTTTCAGTCTTAAGTACAGTTTTGCAGCACAATGGCCTAAAGGGGCTGATTTTTGCTCTATGTTATTTTTCCATAGCAAGAGCTGCAATCATAAAAGCCAACATTAAAGCTGTGATGGTTGTAATTACCAGATGCTTATGGTCACATGTTTACAGGGAAAGGGAACTGGCCAGTCCCAGTGAAGTATAAGCTGAAAATTTTTCTCGGAAGCTTAGTTGTAAGAGGGAGAGTATATGCTCTCTGGTCAGTCCTGCCTGTTCCACTTGTGCAAATTATAGCATTTAATGCAAATTATAGTTCATTTAATGCATCTGTGTGCCTTGGGAAGGATTTGGTTCTTTGAGTACCCTCCTTCCAGATTCAAGTAACAAAGTAACAGGGAAAAAGAAGCATTCCACATCAATTTCCAAAGAGAAAACTGCTAGTGCATTAGCATGAACATCTGCAAACATTTGTCTTCTAAACACCCGAAGTTGAATTAGTTCAAAGCCAATTTCCTAGCAGCTATAACAGGTGTAATTTTATTGGCCTTGAGCAAAACACAGCACAATATTGACTTGGTTCTCACTCAAACTGCTTTTTTTGGTGGAGGGGGAGGATGTAAGTAATGTCAGAATTTCTCCCTCCAGCATCCCACAAAATACCTGACAGTTGTCATAACTAATACTAATATGCTCTGTGTGTGGAACATGCAGCAGGGCCCAGAAAGACATTAGACCTGCACATGAGCAAGTAAAAGAAAAGAACACACCTTTTTCCACAAGTTCTGTCTGTCCTGTATTTCTTCCACTTATCATTTGTGTATTTCCTCTGTGCTTTTCAGGCCTCTTCTTGTCTCTTTGCTTGTCTTGACCTTTCTGTTGCCTTCTCCCTTTTTTGTTCAGCATTGACTGAATCTTTGTAACATCCAGACTTATATTTGAGTCAACTAATTCTTCATTAGTTCCAAATAGCTTTTTAAAAGTCAGCAGATGTTCCTCCAGATTCCGTTTGACGGTTTCTAAATCTGCAGAGAGAGTTTCTACAGAAGCGTTGAGTGGCTCAATTGCATTTGCCATTGTGTGGTTGCTGCAGAGAGTAACGTCACCTCTGGATTCATGCCTCTTGATTGCCAAGCTCAGATGTTTGATATCATTCTTCAGAGTCATGATATCATTATAAGCTGAGCTGTCCAAGGAATCATCTTTGGCAGCCTCATAGTTAGGTTCCATGTGTTCTATGATGCTGCGTTGACTGCTGACTTCATGTAGAGTAGAGGAGGTTTGTGTTTCTTCCTTGGGGTGCTTAGGAGGCATGTGAGCATCATGATTATTCTGGTGACGTCTCTGCAAGGGATGAAATCTCCTTGCAAGAGATTCTAAAGTCACATTTTGTTCTTGCAGTTTATCTGAGAAGTATCTGAGAGATTCTTGAAGCTGAAATACTGATGGTATTAGGCTACTAAAGTCATCTTCAAAAAAGACATCCAGAAATTCGTGTCTCAGTAAAGCCTCCAGTGCTTCTTCGTGCCGCATTGCATCTTTCAAAAGAGAGCTAAAAGAACTGTTGAGATACTTGATGTGTCGATGAATTTCTTCATCTTTCTTCTTCAGCAAGCCTATGTCTTCTGAAAAAGCAGTAACCTGTGACTGAAGCTGTCTGTTCTCTTCTTGACGGAGGTTAAGAGATAGATGGATGGATGGAATAGCTGAGGAGAGCTCTTCAATTTCACTCTTGAAGAAATCTCTGAAAACTAATTCCAAGTGCTTCATATCCTTTGGCTGGATATCTTCAAGGGAATAAGTGCTATTCCTGAGATCTTCCTTCAGTACATCAGTGTCAGAAGATAATCTCTGACAATTGCATTCCTCCATGTACCGCAGCAGATCTGAATAGTTTTCCTGAAGGTTTGAGAGAGTGTAGTTGAGGTCTGATATCTGCCTTTCCATTGCTGCATTGTTTTCTTCCATAATAACTGATTTCTCAGCCAAAGTTATTGTAATATCTTCTGGTCTATACTTGGAGATGTTTTTCTTTAACTCCTTAAACCACCTCTCTAAAACTGCAATATTCTGAAAGGCCACATCTGACTCCATGTAAAGTTCTTTAAGCTGCTTTGCATGCCCTGACAGAATGTCATTCATTTGTTTGATGGTTAATTGGCTGCTTTCGTCTTTGGGACCATGATGAGAAGAGAGTTCTGTTAAATTTTTTTTCAAAGCCTCCAATTTATTTTCAAGAAGATTTTGCTCTTGTTTCATGTTTGCTATGCTGTTGTTCAAAACTGAGAAATGGGAATGCTGTATCTTATGAAGCTTCTTGAGTTTCGTGTCAGTATCTGCCTTGATCATGCTGAGATTATAATGAATATTAGCCTGCTGCATGTGCACTTGGTACTCTATATCTCTTTTTGCCTGATCAACTTTCATGATGTTTTCTTGGACTTTGGATTCAAATTTCGTTCCCAGCTCCTGGAATTCCTTCTTGGGCACAGTGCTCTCTTGGAACCTTTCTATGCTTTTCCTGTTGGCTTCCACATCATGGGACAGGTTTCTTACTATGTTGGAGAGGTTCTGTAAGCTTCTGTTGAAGCTTGCCCACATTGGGTTAAAATGTCTCCTAAGAAAATTCTCCACATGAGGAAACAAAACTTGCTGCAGAAGCCTTTCTTGATGATCTGTTAATACAGCTGAAAAAAAAAAAATAAAATAAAATTCTGCTTTTGGAATATAGTCTAGCCAGGATAACTCAAGTGTACATTTTTCTATAGTAGCTGCCATCTTACTTCCCAGAATCTGACCTCAAATGATAAATTTAAACAATTGCAAAAATAGCTTAGTGTTAAATCAAGGTTACTGTAAAGCACTGGACAAGTATTTTTTCCAGTGGCCATAACTGTCCATTTTCCCAACAGTTCTTAGTTGGTGGGCTCTTCCTTTTCTGACTGTGTCATAATGTTCTTTTTCTCATGCTTTCAACTCCACAAGGTTATACAGTATCCTAGCAGCTGAATATTCCAGGTCAGGAGTAAATAATTTGAAAAATCTGTGAAGTATCTGGATTATATGGAAATTATACTAACACTCAGTTTCTAACTTTAAAGTTCAAACCTGAGTTCCCTGAAGTTCACTGAGTACCATAGTCTGTATCCTTAGAAAATGTTTCTGCAAGCCAGTGGCTCACTATAGTGGGTTAAATTCAGCAGCTCTTGTTTTCCCACTCCTGTATATGGCAGGAAGAGTGTTCCAGAGATAGGTCAAATGTTTCATTTCTTCATGTAACTCCAGTGTGCTATTTCACACATCAGAGCATATAGCATGAATATGGGAAAAGAACAGATGTAAACTCTGCATCCCCACAGAAGAGAAGAAGCCATAGAAGCAGAATAGTAAGGTTAACAAATTCTAAATACAAGCAACCTCTTTATTCTGTGATTAAGGCATGTTCAGAACTCTGCCTTTCCTCTCATTTCCCATTTTGAGTTACTCTTTGGTTCATTCATTTACATTGGGATTACACCCATTTTTATTTTCTTTATAAGCAACCAGCAGACCAAGGAATATCAGGGTACATTTGTTCTCACGTTTTCTTTCTCATCTGTGTGGTTTCACAGGGCCTGTCATGGGCTGATAATTCTGCATCAGTCCTCTCACCTGAATTGCTCTGGTTCACTTCTAACACCATGCTTGTACCGTTGTTTTCAAATAGTCTCTGTAAGTCACCTAAGGTGCTGGCTGCTTGATGAATATCACTTTGAAGATCATCCAGTAAAGCCTCATGATTTTGAATGACTTCGAACATTTCTCTTGAATCCACTGATGTTGACACTAGTCACGAGATTAGAAAAACAAAGTCATGCAACAGGGTGCAGCGACCAGGTGACAGGTATTCATGCAAGACCTCTGAGAACACCTGTCTGGTTTTCACTCTGAAAATTTTGCACTGACATTTAGGGAGTCTGTTGATTTCTTGCACCTTAAATTGCAGTTTATCTGCAAGGATTTTTTTCAACAGTGACGGAAACTTAATATATTCAAATATTTGCAGAGAACTTCAGCTACAACCACTGTGGTGGTAGTAAAATGCTCTGAATTAGAAATCTCCCCATGCCTTAAAAATGTTTTGGAATACTAACTCTTTTCAAACCATTGACTGAAAGGATGGCAAGGCTTTACAATTTAGGATAAAAGGAGGGGATGGAAGAGCAATTGAGACGTTCTACTGAGGAATCAGGAGCACAGTGTTAAGTGTTAGAGCTTATGGTGGGGCCCTTTAACTGATGTTTTTCTAAATAAATACTTTTGAATTTGAGCTGTAGATTTCCAAGTGTGCAATACCTCCCAGAAGCTAATTGCTGAAAGGCACTTAATAGCACTGCAAGCAACACCCTTTCCCAGGTGGTAAAGGGAAGGCCCCTCTTGTTACCTACACTGGCAGGATGGAGTTCCTGAGATACAAATCTATGGTACCTTGTAATTGTAATCTCAGAGCTACTCTGGGGCTGTTCTGAAGTAGCATTTGCAGTGGATTGTTTTTCTGGTAGGTTTGTGAACATGGTGTACTGTCCTGTGAACCCACTTTGCATAGCAAGGGGTTAACATCCATGCCACTGAAAGAGGTAAGGCTCTGCACCAGCTGGCATTCACTGATGACCAGACAGCTTTGAAACTTTGGGATGCTTTGTTGTGAGCATTCACAGAGTTTTATAGCAAAAGCCCTCATTTTTGTCAATAAATGTATTGTTTCAAAGCTTTCCCAGAGAATGCTTTCCCAGATTGTCCATAGCTTGTCACTTTAAAATTACAGCTTCAATTTTTTTTTGCTTTTTTGCTTTTTTATTTCCCTGATCAGTGACTGAGAGGTAAAAGGATGACAAGCAAAATAACTTCAAGCACATACTGTGGTTTGAGAACTCTTCTTCTCGTCCTTCAGTTTCAGTTCCTGGCAGCAGAATAAAATTAGGATCTGCAATCAAGATATGATGCAGCTGTGAAAATGTTTTAGATGCAGAAATGACTACATTTTAGCAAGGCCACACAGGAATTTCATGTTGTGTAACTGGTGTGGAGACAGGCTTCCTGGGGAAAGAACACTTTCTATGCAGAACTCACTTTCCTTGCACTAGCAAACAGCATTGCATACATGGCAGTGCTATGCAGTATAGCATGGACATTTTTATTTCATGCCAAATTATTGCTCATAAGAAATTAGTCTATTCCAAGTAATTGGGGCTTTTTTTCTTTTCTGGGGATCCCATCTAGAGATCTGTGAATTCCTCTTCCTTGTTCCACAGTTACCTGAACATTCTGGTGGCAGCATCAATGAATGATGCTGTACAAATGAGGAGATAATGAAGGAGGTGCTGGCTTTGGTCAATGAGTGTTAACAACAGAGAGACCAAAATAGTTGCACTGCGTTTGGTAACATCTTTCCAACATGATGAGTGAAGTTCACCATCTAGAGGTCAACACACAAATGAAAGCTATCTGTGAAGAAAAGCTAAACCTAAAGAGATTTTTATCTGTGGAGTCTGTAGGTGAGTTCAGACATATGTTTGCCTTTTTTGTTGTGGTTGCCTAAATTGCTAGAGGGAATTACCTTTTATCCATTTTAATTCCATTTAAGTTCTTAAATGTTTAAATTCTGCTTTTGAGTATTACTTGTTAAATTCTGCCAATGCCATTTTTAAACCACCATTCAGTTTTTAAACCACACTGTCTCCCCTCTCTCTTTATTAGCAGCTGCACAGATCTTAGATCTTAGAATCGTAAGTTTGTGTTTGGGTTGGAAGAGGCCTTAAAAACCATCTATTTCCCACCCCCTCACCATGGCAGGGAACCTCCCACTACACCAGGCTGCTCAGAGACCCATCCAACTTGGCCTTGAATACTTCCAAAAATGGGGCACCCACAGCTTCTCTGGGAGACCTGTTCCAGTGCCTCACCACCCTCACAGTAAAGTGTTTCTTCCTAATACCTAATCTAAACCTGCCCTATTTCAGTTTGAAGCTATTTCCCCTGGTCTTACCACTACATCCTCTTGTGAAAAGTCCTTCTCCATCTTTCTTGCAGCCCTATTAGGCCCTGAAAGGTGCTCTAAGGTCCCCTCTGAGCCTTTTCTTCCCCAGGCTGAGCAGTCCCAGCTCTCTCAGCCAGCCTCCATAGCAGAGGTGCTTCTGGACTCACTCCAACAGGTCCATGTCCTTGAGGTGAGGACCCCAGAGCTGGATGCAAGACTCCAAGTGGAGTTTTAGGAGGATGGAGTACAGGGGCAAAATCCAGTCCCTCAACCTGCTGCCCCCACTGCTTTCTTCAGCAGTGCAGTGGATTCCAGAAGTTCACTCTAAAGGCTGCTCCTGGAGCTTCCATGGAGGTTCCAGTCTGAGCATTGTTCCTGCCTGTGCTGTGGAGCTGCTCCCGGCCCAAGGAGCCAGTGCTTTGCAGCCAGGGTAAGCAGAAATGGGGAGCAATGCAGAGTGAAGGCTGCCCTCTCCTCTGAACCTGGACACCTTGTGATTCCCAAGCCAGGTGATTTCATCCTGTGCTGACCATAGGGACATTTCACACACTTGCATTGCTTTCTGATGTCACCAGTTTCTACCTGGAATTAGGCATTCTTAGATGGACTTGTCTAAGATGGACCTCTGACAGGCTTCCCAGCAAATTAATACCTTTCTCTATGTGCAGAGATTACAAAGGTGCTATTAACAGAAGAGTAAGTAGCTAATGATATTTAACTATTAATTGCAGCTAATTATAACTGCTCTTGTCTCAAAGTACCGGTGATTTGGGACATAGCAAAAAAAAGGCATAGAAAAAAACAAGGCATCAGTTCTGAAAAAAAAGAGAAAAATTAGGAAAATTCATTTCTTGCCATTGTGCCTGGCATTTAGTCATTCATTCCTATACTTGTTCTCCAGCTTTGCTTACCACGTTGTTCACAGTCCTTGCCAGTAAATCCAGGGCAGCATTTCCACTGCAAAGACTTCAAAGCCTTCTGTTTCACTTGGTAGACTGGCTTCAGAGCTGTCCTGTACCTGGGGAAGAAGGGTCTGGGCATTAGATTTATTGTAATAGAGTCCTTTTCAATCAGGTTTGGATTGATCCTGAACTTCTGTAGTATTCTGATGGGGTGTAGAGAGAGTTTTATTATTAAACACATTATTCCAAAATGTCACAGATACCAAGGAAGATAGAAGTTTGTTTAAAACACCCCTAGAAATAATGATGAGGCTTCAGAACTGTTGAAAACATCCTTTAGATACTTCAGAGAAAATTTGTTCTCTTCACTGGTTTTACTTAGGACACTTACATGATCTTCTGGCAGTCTGGGGCTCCGTTTGGGCAGGGCTGTTGGGAGTTGACAATGTACTTCTCCTTCATGCAGGCTTCTATGTATGTGACCAGCCGGGACTGCGTGAAGGAACACCAGTTCCTAGGGAATAAAAACATGGGAAAAGAGTTTTAAATAGGTCTCTAAGTCTCTGGCTGTAACAGTGCCAAGAAAAAGCAAAATGCAGAAGGGACTTTATTTTTGCATTTGTATTTTTTCCCAGCTGTATGATGAGGAAAGTGGAAAATGCTTTCTACCTTCTCCCTCCACTCCCAATTCGTTTGTTTTCATTTGAGATGTTTATCTGAGTTTGTAACGAACGGGCTGATTGTCTAAACTTTGATGCATTAGTTCCATTTCCAGTCCTTTCATTTTGCAGAAGAAATTTCCAACCCATGATAACCTGCGGGTTAATGTCACTTTAAATGTCAAATTGCCTTCCTAGGCATATTGCCATTTCAGATGCCTATTGACTGACTCATCAGGTTGAGGCAGACTGCTTCTGCAAACATAATCTGACTTTAACTCCATTAATAATATCTTCCTAAGTATTGCTTCTTCAAGGTAATATAGTAAGTGATTGGATTTTATTAAATAGGCTAGCTTCAAAATTATTTCTCCCATCACCTGCAAGAAAATAATAATGGGGGGAAAAGGGTTGTTTTAGTTTTGTTTCTAGCAAGGACAAGTAACTTTTAGTAGTTTTAATTGTCTGATTAATTTTCCAAGTCAGAATTACATAGGCAGCTATTAATCCCAGAGTGTAGGTGAACCTCTTCCTTTAAAGTCAAGACTTGGCTGCTGTTTGATGGTTTAATCCAAGACCAGAAGGGGTAGGAAGTGACAAGCAATAACTATAATGGAAACAGCTGAACTTTAGGCAGTATATTTTTAAATGGGAATACAGGAACCAAATCTCTGACTATCAGCATATATGGAAAAAGTTTGCCCCTCTCAGGGAGTTGGCAAAACAATGGGGAACCGAGTCCTGCACAAAAGCAGAAGCTGGCAGTGCAGCAGCCAGGAGAAGGGGAGGAAGCTGGAAACATCAGCATGGAAGGGCAGACAGCCTGGGCTAGCTAGGAACAGTTCACCAGCCTTGCTGGGCCGTAGCCTATTTTGCTCCCCTGTTTCTCAAGGAAAATGTGATGGAGATTTCAGCAAGCTCTCATGCAAGCAAAACTCTTCATCTGCTAGAAGCAAGGGCAGGAACCTGGCAAAGCATTCAGTGCTGGGAAAGCAGGACAGGAGAGGAGATTGTTGCCTTTGTAGTGATTTCCAGCCAAAACAACTTGTTTGAGTTGTAGCTTTGAGGCCTTTGCAAGTGACTGGGGGAAATTTTGGGGCTGTAATCAATGGGAGTCTTGGTTCTTACAGGACTGAACTAGAAGACAAATCATCACATTTTTATTGAAGCATTACTCTTCCAGAGTCAAACACTCTGCTTGTGTCAGAGTGTAAAACCACCAGTAAAATCCAGCAGACCAGCATACATGCTCTGGTGACATCTGAGGTCTTTATAAGCCTGTGGCACTTTTCTGGTATTTGGTGTCAGTTCAATAACTCTAAAACAAAGACCTGGTTTGTGCTTTGTTTTGGGCTGTCCTCTCTCATGTGCTTGGCAAAGCATGGCTGGGAGAGGCTTTTCCCCCTCAAATCCTCTCTACTTTTTTCCTGGGGAAATGAAGTGTCCAGGCACTGTTGCTGGAGCTGGCTGGTATCGTTGCTAGGTGCAAGATCCCTGCCCCTGCCAGCGGGATGCCTGCCAGATCCAGGCAGGAGTCTGCATTCAGCGTGGAAACCTCCTTTTAAAACAGGATTCTTTGGCTGCAGGGTTTTGTTCTTTCCTAATGAAAACAATCCACACCCAGTGAATCATCATCTAGGCTGATTTTTTTTTTTCCCACCATATGCAAGTCCTTCCTAAGAAGTCCTTGGAGTCGTGTCAGCCACACAGAGCAAAGCCAAGTATTGCACATGCATCAACCTGTGTGAGCAAGAATGAGGCACTGTGAGGCTGTGAGTGCTTCTGCTGTATTGCACAGGTGGATGTGCACACACATGGAACGGGAAACACAAGGATTCCTTTTCAAAACATGTGAATGTGTTGGAGGTACCTGGTGGGCTTCCAACTTGTCAAAGGGTGTTATGTTGTGTGAGAAATTTAATCAGTGGTTGATCCCAACTTGATGTTTTGGACAATTACTAAATTACTAGTACTCTGCAGAATGAATAGCATGAGGGGGAAAAAAAAAAAAAAAAGAGGAATATGATGGACTCTCAATCAAAACTTCCTTTAAGGCTGGTCACAGTTCTTTATGTCCAGTTTTCTTTACTATATATTCATTGGTTATCTCTCACTTGATCTTAAAGGTTTCTTTTTGGAGCTGAAGGGCTATGTAATATTTTTGTTTGTAATAGGTAATGTTTTTGTTTTAATCACAAAAACTTTCAGAGGTTTTGAGTTCCATAAAACTTATCAAAGTTTATTCTTTCCTCAAATAAGTAGATAAGGCCTAAAATGAGCTGCCAAATAGATGCATGTGCCCAAAGATGAAACTTCTATTGCAGTATTTTTTTACAACTTGTCAAATGCTTCCTTTAGGGAAACTTTGCTATCTGTAACTAAAAATACTCCTTAACGGGATTAACTTTGAGGGAAAATATGTCATTCTTTAATGTTAAGTGCAACCATGTAAAAGACTGAGAAGGGCTTGATCTAAAGTTCAGTGAGGCAAGCAGGACTTCTCTGGCACCAAAGGCTCTGAATCAGCCTGTGAAATTTCAAAGAGCTGCTCCTTCACAAATAGCACTTTCTTGAGCTGGTTTCTGGAACACAGCAGCTTTGTGTTCTGCTGCTGCAGTTTTTTCCCTCTTTGTAACTATGTCGCTTCATTCACTGAATATGTTACCAACTTAACACCCTCTGCTTTTATTCTCTTTAATGGAGTTTCCTTTCGGTGCAAGCTTCTGCTGCCAGGGAGAGAGAGGGACAGAGAGAAGCTGCTCATGTGAGGAGAGCAGAAAAGCCTTCCCTGTAATCTGGTGAATAGTAATGTTTATCAAAATGCTGAAAGTTAGAGCAACACTTGAGGGGACCCTCGGAAATTCAGGGCTGCAGACATTCCATTTGTTCAGTGGCTTTTCCTGGTTCACACTCCAAAGAAATTAATCCCTTTTTTTTTTTAACCAGGTAGTTTAAACCAGCCAAAAAACCGTTTTAGTAATTTTCTTTGCTAGACTGTAGTGTTGGTTTTTTTTTTTCTTTCCCGTGGATTTCATTCAAATTATGAATTAATCTTTTTAAATAGAGTCTTCACATGTATCTATTCACTTCTGCCTAATTCTGAAATGACTGTATTCTTGTGTCTGAGGTTAAATATATCTGATGACAAAGCATTCTGTATTTAAATAAGATTCAGCAAATGTAGGTTAGCTGAAGCTCTTTTTATTTGAAGCTTTCAGGTGTTCAGAAACTGATACTAAAATGATTTTTTTCTTACATTGGATCTAGTTCTGCTTTTACTGAAACATAGCAAAATGGAGGCATTTCTTTCTCTGATTCTAGGATTTGACTGGGCCACCTTATAGCATAGGAAACAAAAACCCACAGAACCAGGAGAAAAGGTTAGATGGCTGCTCTGCAGTAATTGACTCTGCTCAGATGAATGTGGGGTAGTGTCTTTCCTTCATACAGACAATTACAGCGTCTGAGTGAGTGAGCATGAGTAATGCTCCCCAGCTCAGCGAGGGACTGACATACTTTAGTTCTCTTTGCTACATGCTCTCTTGATTGCCACTGCAGTGCATAATTTTAGATGTTTCCTAGGTCAGTGGAATTTTTGCCTGAACAAAAGCTTCAGGAATTCAGGATGTTGGGATGTTTTTCATAAGTTTTGTTATTCCTTTGGCTGAATTGGTCCAACTGAGTTGTCCTTCACCATCATTTTCCTCAGATTTCTATTCTCAAGGAAGCCAGTGTCTATAATTATTTTGAAAACTCCTGCCTAGCCATGCCTGTCTACAACTCACAGTGTGCAAAACTTTTCAAGACCATAACATTTTCCTATGCAGCCCAAAAGGCACCAGATAAGCAGTAATGCGTGCTTAGAGTGCTGTAGGAACATAGTAGAAGAGTGTTATTTCAGTTTAAACAAGTGATTTTCCACTGACTTGTACAGAATGACTTCTGATTTATAGCAGTTGAAGAGGAATATAAGAACGAGGCTTTAGCTGTGGTTGGTTTTTCCCTCTGTGCAAATTTCTCACTGACAAGAAAAAGCAGCCTCAGTAAAACAGAAATAAAGTTCTATATCTAAATTAATCTAAACTAAGACTGTGCATGTCAGTATTGAGACAGACGTATCTTTTTATAATTTATGGAATACAAAAAGTGTTCAGCTGTTGGGGAAGGCACTGGCTCTCCAAAGCAGCATGGTGTGTGCCACTGGGTTTTTAATTAACAGACAAGTGATGCCTGGTGGTCTGTCAGTGAACTCTCCAGCTCTTCCCAGGCAGCCAGCAGCCCTGTATTAGAACCAGACAGCATAAACGCTCATATTTCTCTATCTTTGCCTCAAGAAAACTCCCAAAGCGAGTAGAACTCCTTCACAAGTAGGGTCTGGGATCTTCCTGTGTCTCATCCCGTGAAACACGCTCGTTTTCACTGGAATGAAAGCAGATTGGCCTGCAGTTCACCTCAACAAACTACTGAAAAGAGTGGCAGTGGTAGTTTCAAACATGTTGGTTTCCATGCAGTGCTGGAAATCTTCCAGAACCCTGAGAAGCCCAGGCTGAATGCAGTGTGTATTCCAACAGTTAGACTGTTACCAATTGGGATAGTCCCATCCTGCAGGACATCCTAAAACTGTAGTGCAGCAAAGACTTTCTGAGCAAGTGCAGGCCTGAACTTAGGAGCAAGAGTTCAAGGAACAGCAGGCTTGACTGGGAGCTGGTTTTGAGCCAAATTCAGCTGTTGTACGAACTGTTTCAGAGACGTAAATGCAAGAGTTTTGTCCTCTTCAAGAGCATCCACAGCTATTTCCTCATTTCTCTTATCCCCCCTGCAATAGAAGCTTTACAGCCCATTGAAAGGGCAGCTTACACTTGGATTTTTTCCTTTGATTCCTGCAGACTTAAGTTCATCCCTAGTACAACCTTGATCACTCCTTTGTCTGACCTCATCTGGAAGCAGGAATTGCAGCCAGTGGCCACCCTTTGGCACACCTGTGCTGATGCCAGGGAGTCAAAGCTCCTTGGGAAGCCAGGCTTCCCACTGGCACGTGCTCAGGGTGCAGGCAGTGTGCAACAAGGTTTGGACTGACCATGCTTGGGGCACGAGGGGAGATTTGTTCAGGGCTGCTCGCTGATCTCCTGTTCAAGGGGCCCTGACCTGCAGGAGCAGGAAGGGGTTGGGTCCAGGTGGTGACAGTGCTGACAGTGATTCTCTGGCTGTGCTGAAACAGGAGCTCTTGTGCTATCTGCCGAAGAAATTAATTGCTGCAGCTTGCAATAATGAGCTATGAAACAAATCATTCCCATGGGCACAGAGGGCTCAATAACTCCTGCACTGTGTGGAATGGAGCTGTGTGATTTGCATCAAGCAGGCTAGTGTGGATCTGTTCCACCTGCAGCTGAGCTGCTCAACGACAGCGGCTATTGGAGATTATTGGAGAATTTCATCACGTCCTAAAGGAGCCAAGTGCAACACTTTGATAGGGAGCCATTGCTTCTGTTGATGCACTTGGCACTGCAAAATCTATTGCTGAGCACTCAGTGGCTGTTCCACTGCTTTGCAGGGTGCTGAAGATCACTTTTAGCTGCACTTCATCCAAACTCTTTTATTTTAAATATGTTCTGTGCCCCTTTGGTGGGAAATTTCAGTATCCCATAAGCTTCCTACAAAAGCCCCTGCCCTGTTTCAAAGAAATGGATGAGTCAGTGTGAAACTGATCTTAATTAAATTAATGGATTCTTCCTGTAAAAGCACACAAAAAATAATAAGCTATTAAGACTGAACACTGACTTTCCTTAGAATAAGTGATTTGGTTTTTCTCTGCTTGTGTACCCTTGGGACGATAGTTACATGTTTTGACTCACTGGGTAGTCATGAGAACAGGCCTGATTCTTTGTGGCTCCTTGAAGTGGAATGAGAGGAAGAGGTGTTTCAGAGATAACAACACACCTGGCTGACATCAGGAAACCTTCCTCTAATCAATAGTGACTTCACAGAATTGTGTGACCAAAACTCAAAGAATATTAATGAAATTAAGGATTTACTTAAGCTGAAGCTTTCTGCCTTTCCTATTTAACAGATCAGGTGGTAGAGTTTGAGGACATTTTCATTTTGCTTTTCCATTTCTTGTAGCTATATTCTAAGATGACACTGTTCATGGATTAAAAAGAAAGAAGTTAAAATGAACCCCCTACCAAGCTGCAGGGCAAAAGCAGAACAGGGGCCACTTGGCAATGATTACACTTCTGGAAACAGAAGTTCTGTGAGACTTTGGATAGATGGGGAAGCCAACTGTAGTTGCTGTGCTCCTTCCCATTCCAGCACCACCGTCCATTTCTCCCTTACAGGGTGAGCCATCCACCTGGGGACTGGCTCCATCAGTGTGGTTCCTGAGGGGGAAGGTTAAAAACAACCTCTGCTTTTTCCTAAGATTATTTTTAGCCTGGAATGCTTAAGTGATCTGGTTTACAGTGTTACTTGACAGACAGGTCAGGGTAACTGAGGGAACAGGCAGCTTTGGGCTTTGCTGTCAGAGCTGCATGTGCCTTTTACATGCTTCATTTGTTTTGGTTTCTTTAATGAAATACAGCACTAAGTGCATGAAATCTGAGTTGTGAGCCTGACTGTTCCTGATGTACAGGTCTCTTAACTTCCCTTTTTAATTCTGCTGAAAGTTTTGGGTACGTGTGAATCCATTTACCTCAGCAGTAGAATAAAATAACTGAAATGAAACCATTCAGCTCATATGAGATACAGCTGCTGGGAAAAAAAAAAAGCAGTATAAAAGTTGATTTCCTTTGGAAAGTTGGCTTCTTTTGATAGTTTTGATTTTGTACACATACAGACACTTGTCCACTTGAACGTGCAGAGCTTCTCATATTTGTTTAGATACAAGCAACAGGTGATATACTAAACTGTTACCTAGTTCTTCCTTTAAAGGCCAGTGACTTCTTACTGATATATATTTTAAAACTCTTACATGAAAAATTTTATTATTCTTGGAGGAATTAGCAAAATAACATATGCAAGCAATTGACTGGGATCTAATTAGTCATTTCATCTCACATGTTAAAACAGAAAACAGAGGATTCTGACTAATACCTTTCACTACTTAGTCATGATGGTCTCAATTATTCAAATAACTGCAATATGAAAAATGATACTCTACATTTTTTTAAAATATAAGATTATTTTCTAACTACCACTATTCCTAATACAAAGAGAAAATAAGAAGTGGTTGAACAAAACACACCTTGCTTTTATTTTTTTTAAATAATGAGAGTCAAACCAAAACTTTGTTTGTTTCCTAGTTCTGCAAAAAAAGGTATTTTCTTATTTCAAAAGCAAACTAGATGTAAGACATCATTTTGGTAGAAAACTCTTCTCCAACACCCTGGGCTTTTTTGGCATGTCTGTCACAGCTTTTTAAGGTACGTCTTTCTCTCCCTTTATCTCTCAATTCCTATTTAATTCCTGATCCTTTTCTTCTTGTTCTCCTCTTGAGAGATATAAACCCTGTTTCTCGATGTGGTTTTTTTTTCCAGGGAATGTGTCACACTTGTAGGGAGGAAATGCCAGATTCATGACAATATCTTCTCTGTGCATAGCAGGGCACTGCAGCCACAGCAGCTGACAGGCATGCAAGGACTTCATGCTCTGAAAGTGTGTTGCTTCAACCATGTTAGAATTTGGAGTGTGGTTACAAGAGAAATTGTATTGTCCCTTCTTATTCTCCCTCACTGCCTTTACTTTTAGATATAATTCTTTCAAAGTCTTGAATTTCTTTCCTAGGACCTAGCAGCTGCCTGGCCTTGTGTGTGGTCTAAGTGTGACAGCTCTATAAAACAATGAATACCTTAAATCTACTGCCAGGCTTGATTTGGATTGCCTGTAGTCATCCACATAGCTTTATAATTGGGAAGAATGTTATGATTTGACTCATTATGCAACTATCTCCATAAAAAGGAAGTATTTCTCTCCTTGGGAGGAAATTAGGATGAGTCATAGCTGGTATTGAGCTGAATTAGACAAGCTGGTACTGAACAGAGCTACAGAGCCAAGGAAGAAATCCTGATTAGGACAGTATATTACAGCATCTTACTGACCTGTAATGCTGACCTTTTTACAGCACTGAATTTTCATAGTACTGGGAGTTTTCAGAATGTTTTCAGCATTTCAACTAGCAGTCAAATGATTACCACCTTGCAGTGCAATTTGGAAGCCCAAGGTACCCCTTGGGCCTTGTTTCCTTCCTTTGACAGTGTCTGATCTGCATTAACCAGGACTTGGTTAATCGAACAGTGCCCATCAGGAAGCCTTGCAGGTTTTAGGAAGTGCCTCAGGGCTATTAGGGGGAGGTACATATTTGTGGGAAGGTGTAGAATGAAAGACAGCAAGGTTTTCATACACTCACTGTGTTACATGCAGAAGAGAGACCTTAATTTTACATGCAGATGAAACAAGATTGCATACTTCAGTTTGCATGAAAGGGAAGCATGACATGAGCAAGGTTTTACAGTCTCTTTCCATCTCACTTTTTTTCCTTTCCTCAAGAGCATTTAAAAGGAAAAATACCAAGGCATACTAAAGCACTGAGCTGTGAATAGCCCTCAGTGTGCTGCTGTTTCAGCTCTCCTGAGCAGGGCTCTGCTGTACCCATCCATCAAGGCTATAAAAGATTCATCCACTGTCCTGCTTGGTTTTCATCTATTTTAAACATTTAGAGACCTACTTACGTGCCCTGTAAAACTTACACAAATCATAGGCTTTGGGAATATTTCTATTGAAGTACATGCCTTTTGCTCTCACAATGGCTGCTCTTCTGCTACAGATTACCATGAAAAGCATTTTGCTGGCATGAAAACCTTTGGAAGGGGTTGGGGGCATGAAATTTGTAGAAATCTTAATGCTTATTCATTATTTCTTACTTTGTTATATTTACTCCTCACTATTTTTATTTTGCTAACATCTCCTTTCCCTCTCCATTTCCAAGGCCCAAGTCTGCAGGCAAGCATATTTTGCTAATGAGCAAAGTTTGCCATGCACAACAGAAATAATCAGCATTGGTTGATGATAAGAAACAGTAAGTACATTAACAACTTCTAGTTCTGCTTTGCCAGAGGTAGTGTTTTTGTTTATAGCAGAACTGGGAGGCTTCTCCTCTGCCAGGTGTATGCACACCTCTAACCCCATTCTGCTGTTTCAGATTAAGCAAAGAGCTGGTCCCATCTGTGGTTTCATCCTCCACAGGCAATTCAGCTTTCTGCTTGTGTAGTTAAAGCATTTAAACCACTCTTGTTTGGATATAGATTGGCCCCTAGAATCTAGTGTATTTTAATGAGAAACTTCTAATGAAAACAGCCCTGTATCAACAGAATATAAAAGTATCAGAGAGGATTGCACTCTTGTTGTGTGTAAGACAGACATGTTGGGGTACTTACCCATTTCGGGGCTGTGGGCTCTCAGCTTCAAAATCCCCTCTCTCTTCCTGATGTGAGGAGATCACACTTGAAGGGTAATCTTGAGTATCCTCCCTGAGCCCTTCTGCCTCCCAGTAACCTTCTTGGCGTGGCAGAGCTCTCTGGGGGTGTGCAGAGGTCTCATGAGCTCGTGGCTTTAGGCTGTGCACGGAACCATCACGATATCCGTGATGGTCTGCATGTTCCACCAGCTTTGCCAGTCCTACCGTACTGCAGACCAGCAAAAGCTTCACGAGCATCCTGCGCTTCTTCCCCCCCAGTTACACCTGTCTCTTGTTCTTTTCTCTGAAGCTCAGCCTGAATTACTTCAGAAATGCCCCAGCAATATTCTTTAACTGGAAAGTTGGAAGAAGGAAGGAAAAAATAAAAAAAAAAATTGCAACAAAGAGCGGAAAGAGCTTTCGGCCCTCCCAGCTACTGTGGAAACGTCGGTGGCTATTGAACAATGTGAGCCTGGTTCCTGTGTGGGGCTCAGACGTCTCTGACAGGGGGGGAAAAAGGTGGTAGGAATATAGCTTATTAAGGGAACTTCTGAGCTTGCCTGCCTTCTAAACTTATCTGTGAACAGGAACTTGGCTTTTATCAGCTGCCTTCTCCCTCAGGCACAGGAAAAGGATGTTAGCTTAAAGGAAAGGAAGAGAAAAGAAAGGAAAGAAAATCCTGAGTGCTCTAACAGACTCTCACTGCACTGCCAGAAAATGTCACAGACCTGCCTGGTCCAGTGCTGCACATGGAAGTTTTTTCTACAGTTTAAAGGCTGAAATACCTTGGTTTTAGCAGCAGAGTATTTGTGGTATGTAGAACAAATTGTGGGTGTTGAGGGACTCAGAGCAAATATACAGTAAAAAAGAGCCTACAAACATCCATGCTTGTGAGACCTTTGCAAAGTAGCTCTGTGAATCATAGTCTGTTCCCATCCAAATGGAAGATTTTCATGAAGTTGTCCTTAAGGGAGCTCAGGATAATAGAGCATTTTTAAGAATTTCTGTTTGAGTTGTCATCTCTTGGTGTCAGGCCTAGGTTGCTTTTTTTGTTTTGTTTTGTTCATTTTGTATTTTTAATTAGCATTAAAAGAAAAGCCGCTAGCCAAGAGCTGCTGTCAAGATCTACCTCTGTCACAACATTCTAATAGTATTTTTTTTTAAGAAGGCTGTGGAGGCTGCATATAGTTTTCTTACTGGTTTTGCCTTGCTGGTGGCGCTGCTTTTAGTTTTGTCGCTTTCATTAACTGTGTTTCTTCTTTCACTGCCTTGCAGGGTGATGCGCTCTGGCATTTTAAAGAATAAAGTGAAGGAGAATGATGCTCCACTGACAAAACAAGTGGGAACACAGGACTGCTAGATCATTTTGCAGTGTGAATGATCAGAAAAGCAGCCCAAAGTTCACTATGTCCTGCAGAGCATTAAATGTAAAGCTTTTATGGATTCATTCCAATACCAGCTAAAAATACAGGATAAAATCTCTCCAGGATTTTGGAAAGCCTTGTTATTAAAGTCTATGAATTTGCATCTCCTTATCACTGGCTGGATTTGCACCCCTCTCCTGATGCCCCAATTTTATGCTTAATGGAAGAACATAGATAAACACAGAAGTGCCCTTCCTGACCTGGTAGACACTGCTGCCTAAGAGCAGTAACAGCAGTGTATGGGGCCAGGCAGGGAGAGAGTTTACTAATTCTAAGGGAAAACCTGTTCTTGCTGTAGCAGTCACTTCTCCAGGGAGATGAAATCACAAGGTCTGGACTGAAGGCTGAAAAAAATTAGCAACTTCCTTCTGTTCCTTCCTGCTGCTTTTATTTCAGATTTGTGTGCATCCTGCTGTAACACATGTCAGTGTGTGAATATTTCATGTGCCATGTTTCACACAGAAATGTGCTTTTCTCACAAGCAACTGGATGTGACCTAAGCATTATATTTGTTTACGTATTAAGACCATCATCAGGAAGGAACTGAAGCAAGCATGAGACAAAACAAGCAGCAGGCTTATAACTTGACCTGCAGTGAGATCCTTGCTTGCAGAGAAGTGACTTTGTGCTGAAGGTGTTGAAGTCATTCTTCATGGGTGCAATCCCTCCCAAGTGGTGGGCCAGTATTTCTCTGCCATCCTCCTGGCTCAGAACATCTACTGCTCCTCCAGGTGCAAGAACCTGTTCTCTGTACCTTTGTAATGGTGCTGCCCTGTGGGTGCAGCAGGCACAGATTTGCAGGTTAATAATTTAGCATGACGGTTTTTTGGTAGTGGTTGCGAAGGATGCTAAGTATGAATCAAGGCAAGGGATCCCTTTCCTTGTGGTAGGCATAACATAGAATGCTGCCATGAAGACATGAAAGACATTCATTATTCAAAGGAACTCCCTTACTGAGCAGTAGTTGAGATTTTTGTGTAACAGCTGTTATAATTTGTGGTATCTGAATAACACGTTCAGGTTATACTGTTGGTTCAAAATATGAGATTTGCTGGCAGATTGAGCTGTAAGGTTTCTTTTATGTCTCTAGAGGAATAAGTATGAGGAGTGTACCTACTCAGGAATGAGATACATCACAACTTTGCCTTGTTTGTTTGTTTGTTTTTGTGTGCTGTTACCTCAGCATGGAACCAGGGAAAACAGACATATTTGCTGTAACAACCTGCTCATTGCTTTCTGAGGTCAGTGTCTTCTAGGAGTGCACCCACTTCTAGATGTGCACCAGCTAACATCAATAGATATTTAGTCACTCTTCAGTTGCCTAGTTGAGTGTTGGTGTGCATTACAGAGCTGGGTACCACTGCTCTAATGAAAAAATGACTGAGTTAAATCAATTTAAAAGAGAGTTTGGAAAATTACTGGGAAAGTGTTATTGTGAAGTGTTACTCCAAAAATATACTTGAAACCCATTCAGTAAGTGATGTTATACTAATAATGGTGTGGGGATGTTTGGAGATGCCCTTGTAGCTCTCACAGGTTTCTACTGGTTCTAAGAACAGCTAGCCAAAGACATTGTTCCTCCACTCTTCGTCCCCAGTCACTAGTGGCCTTTTTTTCCCTCTCTGCTCTTATTCATGAAAATACTTCTTCTTTAAGTATTCCTGAGAAGTTCTTCCTCAAAGTGTTCAAACTATTCTTCAGACTTCAAGCTAGTCTTTAAAGAGTTGATATTGCCAGTTATACCAGATCGATCACTAATGCCCTGGGATCTTGCCAATAAGTGTCAGGACTGCTCTTGCCTTGTCTGGTAACTCTAACCACTTCCATTAAACACAGCTCTTAATGCCCTCTGATGTTGCCCACCCCGAGAATTCAGTGTCCTGTTTGCAATTCCATAACCAAGTCATCAAATGCCAGCACTGTCTCCTGGGTAATCTGCTTAAGGCGCAAAATCTTATCTTGGCCCCTTTCCTCTTGTTTAGGGTCAGAGCCCTGAAGCTACATCTGGATAGGAGGTGGGGAACCTCAGAGTAAACAGTGCCAAACACTGCGTTTGATCAATGGCTGATCCCATAAATGGCTTGGCCGTACTTGGGAAGCAAATGTGCTGGCTGTTCCAGTCAGCATGTCTCTGGAGAAACAACCCTTCGAAATTCAGTTTTCACTTAATAGATTCTCATGGATTTGTTTGTTTCTCTTCTGTCTTTCCAGATTCACTCCCTACTCTGTGATGCTCTTAATTGCAGACTTAAATTCTGAATCTGTCTATTTAAAAGGAAAAAAAAAAAACCTTGAAAAAATGTTTAAAAAACCAAGGAAAGATGGAAAGCAGGTGTTGCTTTAGATTCATATATCCCAGTTCCGAATCTCTGAAGCACACTGAATAAATGAAAGGGTTTTATGTCTAGGAAGACAGTTTATTTCATAGCTGCACAGCAAGGGGATAACTTCTCATTAGGCACTGGGATTTAGATCTGGAAAATGCTGTCTCATCCCTTGCCCGCTGCCGATTTGCGCTCATGCGTGTGCAGCTGCTCTGGGGGAAGAGAGCACGGGGAAAAGAGTCAGGAGGGGACTGCAGGGCTAGAGAGTTATTCTTTTTGCTGGTCTATCCATCATGGGGAGAAGATGAATTTTTGTTGCCTGTATTTTTAATGGTTTGTTCAAAAGCTATCAGTGGTATTCGACAGCAGAGATCAGTCACGGAAGATTGCTCTACTGGCAGCACTCTGTGCGCTCCATGTGGCTCATCCCTGTGTGTGTTCCTGAAAAATGGCTTGTCCCTGGGTTATTCATTCTCTGGCTAAGGAAATTAGCTCATTACCTATGCAAACGTACATGCAGGGATTCAAATCCTAAACTGTTTGCCAAAGGATGTCAGACAACTGCTTGTTTTCATTAGGGCATGGAAATGACGGATCTGTGACAGTTCTCCTTTCTGCATTTTGAAGTTTTCATAAGTGGAGAGACAGAGGAAGGATTTCTGTTTATATATAGCAAGGTTCGATCCTGTTAATGTTAATATTCTTCATAAAAAACTTCCTGAACAAAGGAAATTTACCAGCCACAAAAGCAGTCTGTCTTTCCTTACCTGTCTTTCAAACAATATCATATACAATTTAAATACTTCAATAGAATATGACCAAATCACACTCCTTTCATCCAGCAAAATGACTTTGTCAGCTGTTAGTCTCCAGCATAAGTTCATTGTTAAAGGACAAGGTTAAGGCTTTGTGGGTGGAGCAGCTTGCAACTGGGAAAATTCAAGAAGGAAAAGACCCAAATTAAGTAAAATCCTGTTTAATCTGTTGCAGGCACAAAGAATAAGACAGTAGAGGAGAGGGAATGTTGATTTCTGCTTTGCATTCTTTTCTTTGCCTTGCATCAGTGCTTTGGGAATAGGTAGACTCAAGTTAGAATTCTCTTGCCCATATTCCAGAATTGCTGGCAGACGTTGCAGAGACCTGCTTGTTGGTGGTGTCAGCCACCAACACCCGGGTGGTGGAGGCCCATGAGAGGTGGGGAACTGTTCCTTTCAGGGGCAGTTTCAAGAAACTCTGCTGTTATCCAGTAAGAGGCTCAATGGTCAGATCTGAGCAGCCAGAATTCAAACTTTAAATGAAGAGCAAGTGGATGGTTTGTCATTGCACAACTTAAGACAAGACTTTCTTTTAGTATTACAGAGATCAGCTAACTTTTGGTATTATGCAAATCAGCCAAATGTTTTTTAGATACAGATTTGTTTACAGTGTTACAGCTTAACTGGCTTTTCCTAGTGTTGCAAGGCAGAAAACAGAGGAAAAGAGGTTGATGCCAGGGGAGATAGGAGCTTGGGGTCTCTGAATTGCCTGCTGGAAGCCTTTCTCTTTAGCTGCTGATTATCTTACCTGATACAAAGGGGGAAACCTTACCAGGCAGAAAGTTAAGTCCCTAGCAAAATCTTAAAGTGAAGGGAGCTTGTGTTAACTCTGTTGTTAGTTTTGTCTGAAGTAGGATTGGCAACAAGCTGGAACTGAATCCTCTGCTTTGAGTAGAAGGATCCTGCAGTCACCTGCAGGTGGCAAACATTGAGGAGCCATTATGGATGCTTGCCTACGATGTTGTCTTGAGTCCAGAGCTTTCCTAAAAAGGTTTCAAGGTA